TGCGACAGTGACTAGGCCCCTTGCGTGTGCACGGCCAGCCCGGCCACGCACACTTTTCAACCCTTTTCCTTTCCTTCCCCTCGGGCGGCAATTAAAGATTGAAATGGAATAACTGCTGCGGCCCTCGAACATGGCCGCGCCGACTTGACGAATCCAGGAAAGGGGTGAAAAAGAACGGCGTGCAGTCGGCCAGAAGATCGGTTTAGGCGGACTCACCCTGGAAGTGGAAAGCATGCGCGATTCGTGGTCGTCCTTGGGGTTTGTAGAACAAAGTAGTTGGAATAAGTATCTCTGTGACGTGCTACCCAAGTAGACTTTGGGGCTGTGGATCTCAAAACGTTCTTCGAAGTCCACGTGATCCGCCCAGACTGATCCTCCGGGGCGTGTCTGGCTTTGGAAAATAAATACCGATTGCCACCGTGCAGAGTACAAAAAGCGTGACACTCCGTGACGGGGCCGCCGTGCGCCGGGTTCGACAATGGGCCGGTGAAAGAAAGATCAACACTTACTCTTGTTGTCTCGGAGTCCCATTTCGATCAAAGCATAACAGTCGACAATGAGATATGATATGATTCGATTCGACGCGACGGCACCGCCGCCATTGTCTGCCCCATTGTTGCGGCAATGGACTTGCTGCATTCCAGCAGCCATCATTACGCGTTCTGGAAACACAACCCTTATTCGCAGTCCGATCTGATTATTGGCAGGACGGCCGTGCGTATAACGCCCTGCGCGCGGGAGGCCCCGCCTCGGCATGCGGCGCACTATTCAGCCGTTAATTGATTTCGATGCTGGGTTCCATTATGTGTTTTCGTTGGATTGTTGTATGCCAAAGTGTCTGGGGTTATTAATGACGCCTATTGACAAGTCCTGACGGGGCGCCGCCACCGCCTTCTCGCAGGCAGTTTGCGTGACAAAAAAAGGACACGCGTCATCAAAGATAGAAGGCGCCGGTATCAATTCGATCGCAGGTGGTTTCCACATTCCAACACGCTGTTTTCCTGGCTAAATAATGTATGCATGCCGCTGCCACTATTCTGTCGAAGACTGTGCGTTTGCAATATCGCAAGTTTGAGATTGGTGTTGCGTGGATTCAAAAGCCGCCGCTCCCACCACAGCCTTTCGAAAGGAAGGCCGAACTCTGAACCCGGCGAGGCGTCATCGAGAAGGCGTCGGTGGAAGTAGGCCAGGGCGTGTTCGACTACTCATTAATAGCCGTTGCGGTGGGAGTGCGACGTGTTACATGTGTTTGTCCTTCCGGTGAAAATGACGATGCTACTGACGTGGGTGGGATGAAGCATCACAAAAAAGCCAGTCTCATCATCGGCCGATACGAAATGGTTTCCCTTTGTTGACGACTGGTAACTGGGCCCCTCGCAGAGCCCCTGATTTGTTTGTTTTCCACGGTCAGGTGTGAATAGCCACCGGAAAAGAGTAAAAAATAGTAGAAATTTGTTAAAAACAGTCTCTGTATGTAGGTCTCTTTGTTACTTTGACACAGTAGCCTCAAAATCTTGAACAGTGTCCTGCTCTGCAGACGAACTATACTAGAAACTTTGGGTAGTGACGGAAGTCAAGCTGGAGTTGGTCAAGTTACCGAGTCAACACTCTCGAGCGAGCGGTCACCACTGGTCGGTCTTTGAGGAACCTGATCGGCGCGCCGCGGTGAGAAGTGGAAGCCACCCGGGCTCGTTGTCTCCTGTAATTTTCTCGAGGCGGGAATGAATATTTTAAGCACGTGGGAGGACTTGGGTAAAATTATAACAAATCCCAGTCGGGATTCTTGCAGAGAGGCAACTCGGTGTCACGCAATTACTTTAAAAAAGGTAAAAAAAAGTTTCTACTCCGGCTGAACATGAATCCTGCAACACTGCGGGGTAATTACCACAATAATAACACGGGACACAAAACTACTGACCCTGCTTATCAACCATCTCTCTCCCTCCCCCTCCTTTTTATGCGTCCCTCTCTTTCCCTCTCGCTCTCTCGTTGCGACGAATGGCAGGGCAGCCCACGGGAGGGAAATAAAATGGCGCGTGTTCCAAGTGCGGCCTTTCTACATGGTGACATTTTCGCGAAAAAAGAAAGGGTACTCTTTGGGTTCGGCAGTCGAACTTCCTCAATTCCTCTTGCCTGTTGCTTTTTCCCGAGAGTGTACGGCAGCTGGCGTGAGGTAGCCTGATGCCTTGCCGCGCCGCCTGCCGGGCAGTGCCCAGCCCAGGCAGTGCCCAGGCAGTGCCCAGGCAGTGGAGCCAAAAGGCCGTAACTCGAACGACCGCCCAGTCAGCCGGCACCTCGCCGCCGAGCGCCGCCAGTTGCGTGGCTTTGCAAAGGGCAAGAGTTGCAGTGACGGCCGGGGCACTGCCTGGGCTTGGCTGCGCTGAACGCCTCTCCATATCGTACCGGCGTTGTTCCACTCACCAGGTTGATTGCCGACGCACTGTCGAAAAAAGTGGAGAAATGTTGCCGACTAAAGAGCCAAAAATGTTGTCAACTTTAAGAGGGGAGCTCAATTCCTTTGCCGTGTGCTGATTATGATGAGACGAACGGCTCTGATGTTTTTCGTCTTGGCGTAACATCATTCAGTACGCTCATGTCGTCTCTCAAATAATATTCCGTCGAAAAATTTAGGCATCTTCCAGTTGCGGGTACGCACAAGGCCGTTGCCTCCCTGCGCATAGAGCACGACAAAAGTATTCGCAGACGTCCACTACGACACTGCCGCTTTCACCGAACACCACTCGACGCGCCGCCAGCTCTCTTCGATATTCGCAGGCACGCCCTGGTGGCACGCCCGGCACGCCCCCGCCACGGTGCTATTGGCAGCCGCGCGTCGTCTGCTGGTGACTGCCAATAACGTTTTGGCTCGGCCGGTTTCGCATACCACTGGCTCGGCGCTCCGCTGTTCCGCTGTTCCAGCTAATAGGGAGTGTTTTCGCAGAACAGCGTCTGCCGAGCTGTCTGCCAGGCAGCGGAGACTACACAGCCAAGCCTCGGACGTTGACTCGCGTCGCTCCCGGCAGCTGGTCGGGCACCGGCGGCGTCTTCAAATATATTTGCCATAACTTTTTAACGCTCCTACCGGGTAGAGGCTGCTGGAAGGCTTGCCAAATCCTGAAATAATTGTTCAATAAATATTTTAAATCGTCAAACAATTTGGTAATTTATCTTTAAAATCTCGTTTTTATAGTTTGTGTGGTCTTCTTGAGCGTTACATTCAGACATGTTGCGGACGACAACACAGGATGCAGAAGGACTCAAAAGAAGGGACAAAAGTACTGCGATATTTTTTTGGGCGTGTAGCCGGGCGCTACGCCGGTACGGACTGCAGACGGGTAGCCCATAAATGGCCGCAAACACATAAACCTTGCGTTGTGTCCGATCGGGGCGCTTTGTTTAACCTTTAATACGTTTGGGAGCGAAGCACTGCACAGCCAAGCTGGCACCGCGAGAGGCTTCGTCTGTCAGGGACGAGCCGAGGGGGAGAGGGGGAAAAGGCATCATCGTACCGGCCGCTCAAATACCTCGCCAAGTTTCCGAGAGCCATTCACATTCAGGTTCAAAAGCAGAGGCCCGGTCCGCCCGATTCGAGGTCCCGCCAGTCCCGCCCGTTTACCACCTATCCACAGTGGGCCAGAAGGCCGGCGGAAGGCAGCCCAAACTCTTCACACTTTTTGAGCTACAGAGTCGCTAAACAGGACTGGAACCCAACGTGTGACCCCATCGATGGACCCCATGGGGTTACATGTTCGGTTCAAGTCCCATTTAGCGACTCTGGAGCTCAAAACGGGTCTAGGGTTTGGGCCGCCTCCACCGGTCTTCTGGCCCACTGTGCGGCAGTCCCTCGCGTTTACCGCCTCTCACCCAAATCACGCGCGTGTGTCCGACACGACCGTGTCTATTAATGTTCCTGTTTATGTGGGGCGTATTTACGCAGTCAGCTGAGAAAGGGGCGAGCCGAAACACCTCCGAAGAGAACGAGAAGTACTCTGCCAAAAATAGAACGAGTATAAATGGAAGCGAGCGAGTGTCGTCGTTACACCAATGACTTTCTTTCGTAAGGGCCGAATGTGAGGCTCAACAGTGTGACTCATGAGGTGTAAACGTGGGAAAAAGGCAGTCCTGCAGCGCGCGCGCTCACACACACACACACACACTCGCACGCACGCACACACACACCTGATAACTTAGGCGCGTATAGTCCATAAAACGCGCCCATTTGAAGAAGACATTCATTCACGGCGACATCGGCCGCTCATTCCCGCGTGGGACGAACACGTTAATCAGTGGCCGAAAGTGAGAAACAAGGAAAAGAAGCCGGTGGATAAGACGGAGAGGGAGCTACGGGGAAAGGGGGGAAGGGGGAGGGGGGAGATCGAAGGTGTAAACAGTAAAGAACTTTAGGCGCCGACAGGGTGGGTGAGAGCATGGATGTTGGCACCGCGGGGGGGCCGGCCGGTCGGCCGCGGCACCGCCTCATCATTTGTATCTTTCCGCTATTTATAAAACCAAAAAACTGTTGGGCCAGGCCAGTGGCATTGTTTCAGTAACGGAACGAATGTGTATTCCAATTGTTAATCACGAGATGTAGAATCTCAGCTCGAAGCTAGTAGTCCCCCCCCCCCCCACACACACACACACGGCAGTGGAGCTGCGGACCTCCCCGCGCCCCAAACATGCACACAGATCTATCACTGTCTCCAGAGTCGAATCCACGGTCCGTCCGATGCCACGGTCCGATTAAGGCTGTTGGTTTACACCTCAGCACACGTATCGACAGATGGCCTCACGTTTTTTTTTTCGTCTGCCTTCCCAGAGACGTGGCGATGCACTTTCCTGCGAGAAAACAAAGGAAATGAGTAAAAGTACGATTGCATAAGCAAAGGGAAAGGTTATCACATACGACATTGCTGTTTATTTCTAGTCTGACTTAAGGAAAACTTACGAAACTATTCAAAAATTCAGCAAATAGTAAATTTGACGCTCTGTTTTGTTCGCAGGTGCCTGATGTCCCAGCGGGCCCCGACGGACAGGTGAGAACCAGAATTTGAGTCAATATCCGAGTGTGTTTCGACCCGCTCGTAAAAGCAAAAGCCGTATAGGAATCTTGTTACGGCATTCTTGCAGATCGACGCACTATCGTCATAAATCCTGCCGGTTTCATTCCCATCGCAATATTATTGGTTTCTAACGCTTTCCCCCTTTTTTTCCCGCCCGAGTACCTGCGATGTGTGTTTTAGGCGACGGGGCGGGGGGAGCGTTTTCATTTTGAAACGTTTCCCCTGCGCGTCGCGCAAAAATATACAAATTAGAGCGGCGCCTTCTTTTTATTTGCGACCTAATTGGAAAATCCGCGCCGGCTGAGACGCGGGGAAGATTAGAGAAGGAGGGAGTGTGACGTCGGACAAGGAGGGAGAGACACCAGACGAGGGAAAGAGCGCCGGGAATCAGACGCGAGTTTATTAGTTGGGGGTGGCACGTAACGGGGGTCTTGTTGATACCTATGAAAATACGGAGTTATGCCCTTTTTCTCCCTTTTGCTTCTTTTTTTATTTCTAATCATCTGGGAATATCTTCCAAAGCGAAGGGAGCGGTAAAGGGAGCAGCGCCTCTTTGCTTTATGCAAACGAAGCGCCGGAACTTACGACGTTTGGATTCCGTGAGCAGTACGTAGTCATTCGAATCCACTCGACCCCTTACTTGACTGGATTTCAGTGGGGGTGACTCACCTCAGCGGTATACGGGTATACGGTAGTAGTGCACTCCGTCCCCTTTTTCGTCACTCTGCCAAATGCTCCCAGGTGTGTGTGTGTGTGTGTGTGTGTGTGTGTGTGTGTCTGTGTGTGTGTGTGGTGTCACCAAGGTGTCACTCGCGTGACGTGGCGCCCTGGCGTGCCGCCGCCGGTGAGCTGTCGCTTTTCGCACGTACCTACACCGACAAAGGTGGCGGTCTCCTTGCCGCCTTTGCCGCCGCCTCACTGTGTGTTGTGTGTGTGTGTGTGTGTGTGTGTGTGTGTGAGTGTGTGTGTGAGTGTGTGTGCGTACCTGAAGACCCCGTAGGGGGCCCGCGTGTTGCCGAAGATCCTCGGCTACTGCTGCTGATTTAGCGCGCGAGCTCTCACGAGTATCGAATAGGACAGAGATGAGCCAGAGAGATAGCCAGAAAACACACTGACGGACACACACACACACACAGACTCACACACACACACCACTGGTACACTGATACACACGGTGGCACGCGGTCCTTTTGACACCGTGCTAATCCCGATCACCGCCCACACGCTTTGCGCTAACATTAGTGTTGTACGCCGCTTGTCTCTCTCTCTCTCTCTCTCTCTCTCTCTCTCTCTCTCTCTCTCTCTCTCTCTCTCTCTCTCTCTCTCCGCCGCCACGCACGCACACTGCGTACCACTACCGTTTCCCTGGAATTTGGAACACGAATTGATTTTTTTTTTCGTCCGCGCTGGATGTTGCTCTGCGACAGACTGTGTGTACAAAGGGATTTTCCTCGCCTGTCTTACAGTGGCTGCACGGCCAGGCGCGGCCAGGCACGGCAGACGAAAGGATTTACCCCGCGACAACCGTTGCGGACCGATGCATGTGCGCATGTCAACATCATCATGGCGGCACTCCGTATTTCACATTGTATTGTACTTATTTTAGTCGCCGCTCGTTTGCCCTTCTCCTTTTTGCCCGGCCTCTCTGCGCCTTTCACGTTGCGTTCGATGTATCGAAGCGCAAACCGCATGCGACAGCGGCAGGGCACATCATGGGAGGTATACAGTCACGCAAAAGTCAGGCGACAGAGACGGAGGAAAAAGAAGCAAAGGGCCCTTGAGCAGTATTCGGTTTTGTGCGGTCGGCATCTTAACATTGGAGATTCGTGCTCAAGATAAAATAAGTTCAAAAGTTGAATTTTAAAAATAAATTCACCCGGTTTTTTATTTAACGCTAACGCTCAACGTTTTGGGATTATAGACACCCGAAGTTCGTGGCGCCACGGACTACCTGTTGGCCGTGACTGATGGTACCCGTAATGAGTCTGGCCAGCCGGGTCATTTATAATGAAACAATGCGTGGAGGGCGGTGCCATTGTCTAGATATGTGACAGGTGGTGTGTGATTTGACTGCCGTGGGGGCGGTGCCGGGCGGTGGCGGGCGGTGCCGGGCGCTGCCCGGCGTCTGTAGGTTCGCCTCCCGCCGCCTCTCGTCTCCGTCGCTCCCGTGGGATATGTGGTCCTGCGAGACGAGGAAGGAAGATGCTGCCACTGTTGTAATCGTATTCCCGACTCTGATTCGACCCGTAGTGCTGCCAACGTTACTCTGTGAAAAACGTTCCGGAGCGCACGTAAGCTTTTTCAAAAAGAGTTGTGCGGCAAAATGGTCCTTCGGGGAACGGCCTGGCGGTGTACTTTGGCGGCGACCTGTAGTCACACTCGAGCGAGAAGAGAGACAGACTAAGCTGGTAAGTCTGGCAAAATGATGATCCGACCGACTCATGCAGTGAGCAGAGCAGAAGGAATCCATCCTCACCCGTCAGTCACGGTTCGAGCCACGCCAGTTGGGTGTCACTGGAAAGAAGATCAAGAAGGAGAAGAAGGAGAAGAAGCGCCTCCCTTTATTCGGATTCGCGTGGGATATTTCGGGTGTCGGGGCCACGTATGAAGCTTCTTCACAGCAATGATGAGTTGCATAATTAACGAGGTATGTCAGTGCGCTGCCCGCCCGGCCCGCCACGCCCCGCCACGCCCCGCCACGCCCCGGCACGCCCCGCCACGCCCCGCCACGCCACGCCCCGCCACGCCCCGCCACGCCCCGCCACGCCTTTCTCACTCCGGCCGACCGGACACCCGGCCCGTTTGTACGCGCCCGTTTCCCTACTTTTTGAGCTCCCTAAAAGGCGGGGAGGGGGAAGTGTCGTATTTTATGATTCTCCGCCAGACAATCCAATAATTCATATATTTATACGCGGAAGCGCCTCGCTTCGCGCTAAAAGTTTGGAGGGAGCGTAATGGCGCAGACGCTAGAAGGCGGTGGAACGGCGCGGTAAGTCCAAATGGGCCGCGGCGGCGGCAGCGAGAAGGCGGTGAGAATCACAGCCCGAAATGAATCTTGACAGCCTCGGCCCCGCGCCGCCCCGCGCCAGTCGGTCACTTTAGCTGAGAGCTAGGGTGGCCACTCGCCACTCGGACACGGAATGGACAGGACTGCCAACCTCGAGTAATTGGACAATTCAATTTGATGCTCAGTCAAGCAGGGAACACTCATTGACGCGGCCCATCAGTCGCGGGTTCGAATACTCTGCAAAATTTCTTTTTCCTTTTTAATTTTTCCTCTCTGTCGGAGCGAAAGTAGCTTGAATGACAAATCAGACAGCAGGGCCCTTGGAAGAAAATCAACACTAATCAAGGACCGAAGGGAGAGGCGCGGCTACACGGCCCTTCATAAAACACGGAGCCCAGGTGAATTTCGTCTCGGAGAAGAAGGAGAGAGAGAGAGAGAGAGAGAGAGAGAGAGAGAGAGAGAGAGAGAGAGAGAGAGAGAGAGAGAGAGAGAGAGAGAGAGAGAGAGAGAGAGAGAGAGAGAGAGAATAGAATGGGCGAGAGACCGTGTTTCCCACTAATTATGAAAGAGACATAAGCCCCGGAATGGTCGGAGGAATACGAGACTGGCGCCGCGGAGTGCCCAGGCCTTGGCCGCCTTGGCCCAGGCGGTCGCTCTGTCTCACTCGCACTCATCGGCCCCGCCGCACGGGTGCGAGAGAGACAGCGTCTCTGCCAGGCAGTGCCCAGGCAGTGCCCAGGCAGTGGGACGGAGTGCCCATTAGCAGGCATCAGGGGTGCCAGCCATCGCCGCCTCGCCAAATTTAAATGAAGGGAAAGGAGGGAAAAAAGACTAGACGGCTGCGGGAGGCAGAGGCGGGCAGAGGCCTCCCGGCGGCCCGCGGCCCGCCCCGGGTGACAACCCAATAATAGCGGAAGCATTCTTCGGAATCGCCACCCGGCCACAAATTAATTATGTTCCTCGAGATACGAAGGAGGAAACAGAGAGGGAGAGAGGGAGAGAGGAATGAATCGACTCGGAATCGGGAGCCCACGATGCGTTTCCTCTCCCCGTTATTGCAGTGTAGCCAACAGCCAATCAATGGGGCGCTGCCGTGTTGGCGCTGTTTCGTGCACGAATACTTCTTAACCGGAAACTATACGCAGATTGCGTTTCAAATTAAACTGACTGCGCTTCCGATCGCCGCCCCCTCCTTGTGTTCGTTTGTCTTGTTGGTTCTTATTGCGTTCCACCCTCGCGAATGCTCGCCGGCTCAGTCTGTGCAACTTACAAAAAATTTGTTTTTCGTTACAGGAATTTTTTAAAAGTCTCTTCAATTTTATTTCTTTGGAAAAAGTATGCGCAGGTGCTTTGAAAAGAATAGTACTCTCATCATTCAATTCAGTGTCAATAGCAAAATTTCTGGAGGTTCGTGACAACTTTTATTTTCTTCGAGCTGACTACACTTCAGGCTACGTGTGGCAAACTGGACATCATTGGCTGCTAGCAAGAGGGGGAGGGGGGAGTGTGAGTGAAGGGGTGAGTCAATATTCAGTCGCGTTTGTTTGGCAAAGAGCGGCCAGTCACGCCACAGAGCGCCTGGCACGCGAAATGATATTCCGTGTCGAGTTGGAAAATGACTTCTGTTATTGGCGGAAAACGAAGGTCCGTAATGCTAAATTACTCGAGGACACGTGAAGGGTTTTGTTTGTCTGTCCGTCAGAAGGGCCTTTACGATACCCTGCTGCAGACACTGCTGCAGCAAATGCCTCAAAATTGAATTACGGCCGAAAGTGTCTGGTGCGCGCTGCCAGGCGCTGCCAGCCACGCAACGCGAACGCTCCTACAACTTTATAACATTCATGTCGCAGAAACACGTATGCGTCATCGTGTACCTACAAATGTAAACAAAAAATCATTTATGGGAATCGGGAGAGGCTTATTTATGGGTCGGTGCATCTTGGGTCTTAAGTTACGGGCGTGCGAGTTTGTTGCCCGCAGGTTGGCAGTCTTATTGGCGCGCGGGCACTGCCAGGCACGCCATGCAGCCGTACCAACTGTCCAAAACTTTGCACCCGGTTCAGTTTCGTGGGCCACTTTCCCCACCGAAGGTGCGGTTTGGTGCGGTGCAACGGAAGGCCGTGAAAAGATCCAGCAAGTTCTCCCAGTGATCACTTCGCCCTAGGTTGGCAGTGGTGACACATTCAGGGAGTCTATCTCGTCTTTCTACTCAAAAATTATTTGAAAAGTTATTTCAAAAATATGTGGGAATTCCCTGAAAAGTGCGTTGGAGTTTTTGAGATTTTTGAAAGTTGTGTGGCAACTTCGCCCCCACAAATTCTCCAGGAATTTCCAACATATTTTTTCAGCAGTGTCGAGTTGCCGGTCAGGGGAAAAAAGACTATGGACGTCGGCAGCCAGCGGGACTCGAACCCTGGTCCATTCACTTCGGGGGCCGCCTCGGTAGCCCCGGCGTCACCTCCCATGCACACAAGTAAGAAATCCTGAGGAGCTTTGCCAGGGCTCTGCCAAGTGGTTCCCCAGACGGGCAATAAGGTGCAGGCTCTGCTCTGCACTCACTGACACGCAACCGATATTTCTCATACCTGCCAATAAAGAATTCCCACGGCGTGTCCACTCCGGTTCCATGGCGAGTTCATCACAGCGCCGCTATATTTCTCATACTCCACGACGCGAAATGAAAAAGAAGTCACGGAGGAGAGAGAAAAGACGTGACCTATAAAGCAAAACCAGAATTTTCTTTTTTTCCCTGGCACCTCCAACCGCAGCCAAGTACAAACACAACTTTGTTGAGGTCTCGCCGACTGTCAAACTCGAACACGAGGGAGGAGCCGGTAGAGAGAAAGAAAGAGAGAGGCCAGGGGGGGGAGTGACCGGCTTGAGGAGCGTCGTTCGCTTCTTTGCACAAATAAAAAAACAAAAAAGGTCAGTCTATAAAACCGCACGAAAAATACGCAGACATGCAGCTGCATAACCCATCTTTCCCCATTCTGTCCCACTCTCCGCATCCCTTCCGAAGCCACCCCTCGCGAAAGTACGACTACAAAACGAAACACAAAAAGCCGAAAAAAAGGGAAGCCACTCGCGGTGCTCTTTATGAGGTAAACAGAGCAAAAAGAATGAACGCCGCGCGCCGCCAACTGATATCAATAAATATATGGGGGTTTGAGGAGGAAATCGCCGTTTTGGGCTGTTTAGAGGCAATCGCACGCCCGACTGACTTCGTAATGGGGGAGTGAGCGAGTGTGTGCGACTGTGTGTGTGAGTGTGAATGTGTGTGTGAAGTGGCGGTACTGCTGGTGGTGTGTTTGCCCTTGCCACCATTTTCAGCTCGTTGCTCCGACTGTTTGCAACGTCTCTTGACCCACACTCGGTGGACAGTTGCGACACACTTCAACCCCTGTTTTAGGGTTTTGCAATGTGGAGTGATAGCCGAAAAACTATAGAAATCTTTTTTCGAGGTGTGAAAGGGTATGTATACTTCATAGCAACTTTGACATTGATGTTGGGTTTAGGACAAAAGTATTTCATAGGCACTCAAAGGCAGTATGATGAGATTTTTAAAATAATTTTTTAGCTTTTTCACAGAATTTGAAAAGAAAAAAAAAACTTGCCTGTCACGACGAACCTTGTCTTCCCTCCGGCTGATGACCCCTCCCCCTCCCACGGTGGTGGCCTCCTCACCCCCAGCCACCCCCGCCGCATCGCACACTTCGCCCACGCGCCGAGCCGGATGAGAGAGAGAGAGAGAGAGAGAGAGAGAGAGAGAGAGAGAGAGAGAGAGAGAGAGAGAGAGAGAGAGAAGAGAGAGGGAGAGAGAGAGAGAGAAAGAGAGAGAGCCGTATCCGCAAAAGGCGTGCGAAATCATAACGCTCCCTGATTAGCGCGTGGAGACGAATAATCAACAAAAACAACAACAGCAAAAGCACAGCGCGATCCTCATTACACACTGGAATTTTTTTCACCCTTATTTTTCATCCTTCCCTTGACTTGATGCACGTCGTCTTGTTGTTGTTGTCGTCGTCGTCGTCGCCGTCTCCCCGCACACCTTCGCACCGCTCCGTCTCACGACCAACCCCTTCTCAGTTTCCTCTCCTTTTCCCCACCCCCGCAAACAGCCGCGTCATCGCCATCAGAAGCAATAACATATCCTATTTCAATTGTCCTCATCGCCCGACGTCCCTCGCCACACGTCGTCTCTCTCTCTCTCTCTCTCTCTCTCTCTCTCTCTCTCTCTCTCTCTCTCTCTCTCTCTCTCTCTCTCTCTCTCTCTCTCTCACACACACACACACACACACACACACACACACACACACACACACAGTCAGAGTGGAGACCGCACGGCGAGCGTCTTTGCCGCCAATTACCAAATTGGTCGGAGCGTCTTGGCGCCAATAACCGTAAACTTTTACGCGGGCGATTTTGGACTGGTTAGTCGGCGCTGTGAGGCGGCGCGTGTCCCCGTAACGGCGCGAGGCCCGGGCCGCAGTTGGCAACACTTGGCTCTCGGACTGTACAACCCTTTCCCTGTAATATGACACTGTGGAACAGCGCCGCGGAGGGCGCACAGTGGGCCGAGGGCCGGTGGAGGCGGTCAAAATCCTAGCAGCGTGTTCAGCTCCAGAGTCGCTAAACAGGACCCGAACCGAACGTGTGACCCCACCAATGGACCCCACTCGTTCGGAGAGCAATCCATTGGTGGGGCCACACGTTCGGTTGGAGTCCTGTTGTTTAGCAACTCAGGAGCTCAAAACGCTTCAAGGGTTTTGACCGCCTCGGCCGGTCTTCTCGCCCACTGTGGGGCGGCTGCGGCGCGGTACAGTCCTCCCCAAAAAGGGCTGCACGTAGCAATTTAAAAGAAAAAGATGGCGTGTGACGAATATCTTGTTTCCGAAAGGTGCGGCGACGTCTTACTCTGCGAGCGTGACGATTGAAAAATAATAAAAGGGATATTGAAAGGCATTACGACAACTCACCCCCAACCCCATCGCGTCGCGTCGCCGCCACCCCAGCATGAGGTTGCATTGCTTTCTGCAGTGAAATGTAAGATAAATAATAACGAAGGGGCCGCGCTAAGCCTTGCGACCACGTACTGCACCCTGCCAGAAAGAAAACACGAGTCGGCCCCGTCTTTCTGGCAGTGTTCCACATTCGTCAGAGCCGCGCTTGTGTATCAAACGCGCGTTTACTGGACCTCTGAAGAAGCGCAGTGCCGCCACTGTGAAGTTTCGCAGAGATTATTTAGAGAGGCGTGTCCATTCCAAATGATGTTGAAACCCACAAAGTTGGAGATGAAAGCCATACGTCGAGGGCAATCTGAAAGGAATCGCCCTGTTCGTCTTGGATTCAGTCCAGAAGCCGACCAGCAGTGTTATTACCGCTGTCTGAGCCCGGCTCACTGCTCGAAAAAGAAAGAGAAAGAAGAAACCAAAAAGTGCCGCCTGACTTGGGTTCGACTCCCGCCGCCTCCAACTTTCTTTTTGCGAATTGTTTTTTGTCTTGTTTAGGGTTGTCCTGCTTGTTTGAAACTCACCGCCCGCCAGTCCTGACCGGAAATGCCCCTTTCTGTTGCAGTCGCGCGGGGCGGCCGCCCAAGCGCCTCCCCCTGGGCCTGACCCTCCCCGCCAGCCTGCAGGGCCACCCCCAGCTCAAGAAGCACCGCCTGGAGAACGGAGACTTCGCGCCCTTCGAGAACGGCCACCTCGCAGGTAAGACAAGGGCCTTTTTGGCGCACGGTGGGCCAGAAGACCGGTGGAGGCGGTTGAAACTCTCGACGCGTTTTGAGCTCCCCACAATCGCTTAACGGGACTCGAACCGTACGTTTGACCCCACCAATGGATTCCTCATTCGGAGAAAAATCCATTGGTGAGGCCACACGTTCGGTTCGAGCCCCATTTAGCGACCCTGGAGCTCAAAACGCGTGTACAGTTTTGGCCGCCTCCACGGGCCGTCTGACCCACTGTGCGGCTGTTCAAACCGCACCTCAAACAGCCACAGGGAACGCGACGTGCGCGTCGGAGAGGTCTGAATAAGCCTTTCTAAAAGGGCGGGCGCTAGAAGGAGTTGGTGTTCTAATCCTGCCAATCCGATCGTGGAAGAGGGTGGGAGGGAGAGAGGGGAGGCCGCACCTAGCCCGTGCGTGCCGAAGTCAAGTAGCTGGTTGGGGTGGCGCGCTGCCGGCAAACCGCACACAGACAGACCGAGCGCGACGCGGCGCGACGCGTGCAAGCCACTTTTCCCTTTTTTCTGCGGCACCCAAAGTCGAAAATCAGATGAAAACACTTGAAGGGATCGAGGAGGCGCCGCGTATTTGCCCAGCGCGTCTCCCTGCGGGGCTGTAAAGACGCCCTCGGGGCGAGGGAGGCTCTCTCTCCGTCTCTCTCGCACCCTGCCGGCCGGCCCCACGCGAGCGAGAGAGACGGAGAGCGGTGCATGAGCGGCCTGGGCGCGAAGCCGCGAAGCCGCCAAGGCGCCAAAGTGCAAAAGCCACTCGAATTCGGGTTCGAGGTCGCCGACGACAGCGATCGGCTCGACGCGGACACTGCAACAGTCCGGGGGGCGGAAAGGGGTTGGGTGCATAAACAATGAGATGTATTCCATCAGTCGGCCATCTGTCCGGGAACTCACGTGGAAAGTGTCCTCAGCGACTCCCTTTGAGACGTTGTGGCGACCTGTTCCAGGCTCCGACAAGTCCCCCCTGCTGTCCAACGGGTACAACGCGCCGCCCTCGCACCTCCAGGCCATGCAGCAGTTGTACCAACACCCGCTGCTGTCGCCGGGGCTTCCGCCCCTGGCGCCCCAGGCGGGGCCGCACCCCAAGCCCCCCGCGGGGCTCCCCGGCATGGAGGCCATCGCAAAGTGAGTGTGTTGCCACTTCTTTTTTGGCCCCCAGTGTTGCACTCGCCCCCTAACCTCATTCGCCTTTCGCCGCAGCTGGGAGAACTGCCGCGCGGCGTACGAAGACATCGTCAAGCACTTGGAGAGGTGAGTCTTTCTTTTTCTCTGCCTTTAGTTTGGACGCAAGCTTTCCCACGTCAATCACACTAAAATGAAGTTTTTGTCACTGTCCCCGGCGGTGCGCAAGTGACGCAATAATTTTGTTATTGGCCAACCTGGCGGGGGCGCCGCGTTGTGTTGGGTTGGCAGTGCTTCATGCATTCCGCGGATGATTGCGCGGGAATTCAAAAAGGGGAGTGCAAAACTAAAAGCAAAGCCAATACGTTATCGCGGTCGGCTTGTCAATGCGCTTTGAGGGTGGTCACGCAGGCCGCGGCGCGAGTTCAACTCCCGCCAGGATCCGCAGATTTTTTATAAAATGTTTTGTTTTGCGCTCGCTCTTTGAGTTAATTGCAAACGAACGAACCTGTTGCAGGATGCAGCACGAGAGAGGGGACCCCGACGGCCTAGACAACCGGCCGCGGAACCTAACCTCACATAACGGTGAGTTTTCGTCGTACACCGGAAAACTGTGGAAATTGTGGGAATTTGGTGACGAGACGTGGGTGTTCGACAGGCTCCCCCAACGGCCACAGCCCGGTGCTGAACCTCTCCAAGGCGGCGGGGGGCGGCCCGGGCTCCGGCGCCGACTCCAGGGGCTCGGGGGCCGCGTCGCCCGCGGACCAGTCCGACAGCGACCCCGGGGTCTCGGACAAGGACGACGACGAGGATGACGTCATATCGAACCCCGAGGACGACGAGGAGCCCCGACCCTCAGGTGAGAACCAGGCAGTAAACGGACCCGCAGGGTACTTTTGCCGTCGCGGAGATGTAAATGTAAGCCTTTTTCTTTTTGCTCACTTCCACTCAGTGTGGCGACCGTCTCTTCCAGACCTGGCCGACGGCCACGCCGCCAGGGTGGGCAGCTCGCCGCCGGCGGCGTCCCCGCCCCCGTACGGCTCGGCGCTGGGGGCGGCCGCCGTGGGCACCGCGGCCGTGGACCTGGCCGGGGGCGGCCGCGGGGACAGCGACGACGAGAGCGGGGGCGGCAGCGGCAGCGGGGGCGGGGGGGGCGCCCTGGGCACCACGGCGCTGCTCCGCAACATCCAGCGCCTGCTCAAGGTCGCCGCCGAGAACGCGCGCGCCCAGGAGCAGCAGGTGGACCTGGACAAAGGTGAGTGTCATCGCGGAGACCTAAACGCAAGGCAAACGCGCGAAAAAAATTCTCTCCGGGCGGGAGTAGAACCCGCGACGCCCGCGCGCCACTTGCCAGCCGCATGACAAAGGACGCGCTGACGTTTATGGCGCTGGACCAGCATACGTCGACTGCAAAGCGTCCTGGCCGCGCTAGCCGCGCCGTCCCCGGAGGCCGCTCGGAATACATCAGGGGAGCCACCCTCCAGATCGTATCACAGCCACCCCCGTTGACATCCGCGTCGCGTCGACACCCCACGCCGCCCCGCCGCCCCGCCGCCCCGCAGACAGCGTGACCAACATTTTTGTTGTTGTTTTCATACGTTTTAATTTTTTATGTCCGGTTGGATCGGCGGTGACTCAAAGCGGTCAACAACAAGTTCAAAATTTTCACTCCGCCACAGTATTTTGCAATTATTTTTTTTCTAACAAAACCGTCGGTAATACAAGTAGTATTGTCACGCCCGTTCCAATGGACCTTTGATGACAATGTCATAGATTTAGAGGTAAAAAGGCGGCTTTCGATTCTCTCGATGTTCCCCCTCGGCATCGATATCTCGAATCGGCGCTCCAATTTAGCGCCTTCGAGTAGCGTCCGGCCCGACACCGCCGAACACGGACCGCGTTTCAGCGTCCGAGAAATACGGGCGCCGTCGCGACTTTATGGTGTGGGGGTCAGGTCGGCGCGTGAGAGCGTCTCTCTCTCTCTCTCTCTCCCTCCCTCCTCTCTCTCTCTCTCTCTCTCTCTCTCTCTCTCTCTCTCTCTCTCTCTCTCTCTCTGTCTCTCTCTCTGTCTCTCTCTGTCTCTCTCTCTCTCTCTCTCTCTCTCTCTCTCTCTCTCTCTCGCTAATGTGGCACGGGGCGTACTCTGCGCTCCATAACCGTCCGTCTCCTATGTCGGTTGCTAAGCGATGCGCGCCCGCCGACACCTGTGTGTGACCATTTTGCGCGCCCCTTCTTTTGCTCCTCTTGGTTTTCGTTTGTGTTCCGACACCGACAGCGACTTTGTGAGTGTGAGTGTCTGAGTAAAGCGTGTGTTTGTGTGTGAGAGTGCGTGTGTCAGTCTGTCTATATGTCTGTCTGTCTCTGCTGAAAAGTGCTGAAAGAAAATCACGGACGTGTAATTTCGAAATGCCGCAGAAAAAGTCCTCTCCGCGCCGCGACACGCCGAACGGACTGAGTGGCAACCCTATCTTGACCAACACACACACACACATACACACACACAAGTCCATATCGGGTGACAGTCGAACAATAAAGGGCAACCTTTTAGCGGCTCCGATGCGGCCCTGACCACTGATGGTCGCTGCGGACCAGAGAAGCTGGACTTCCCCCTCCCCCTCCACCCCCCTCTCTCCCTCCCCCTCTCCAGGCCCCCTTTCACGTGTGCGACAAAGGGCCTAACTCAACCCGCTGGAATGCGAGGCACACGCGGCACTCCGCGCGATTCGTGTTGCGCTCGCCGCGTTTTATTGTTATTACTATTGTTTGTTGTTGTTGTTGTTGTTGCTATTTTTGTTGTTATTGTTGTTGATGGTTGACTCATGGTTGCGCTGGCAAACACGGTTCCCGGTTTTCCTCAGGTAGCCTGTGGCGATCATTGGCTATTTCCATGGGTTTCCAGGGAAAACCAGGAACCGTTTTTTACCGTAGTCTAGCGGAAAACAAAGCAGTAGCGGTCAGTATTTTAGTACTAGGAGTAGACGAGTGGCATTCGTTCAGGTAGTCGGCGAAACGAGAGAGGGCGAAGTTAGAAAAGGGAGGGAGGGGAAAGAGGGGGGGGGTACTGGGCACTCGCCTGTATTGCACGGGTAGCGCGCTTTGATAGCGCCGAGTGAGAACTCGAGTACCTGTGCGAGTGTCGCTCGAGCCATTCGGACACGTGCCTGCCCGTCTGCCCGTCTGCCTGTCTGTCTGTCCGTCCGTACGTTTGTCGGCCGGCCAAAGCAAACAAGCGAAACATGCGAAGCGCGCGCGGCCCCCCAATTTATTACAATTGTTTGTGCAGGACGCTGTCACTCAGACGGTCAGTGTTTACTCAGACGTTCGCGGCCTCGGCAAATAGTTCAACCCTAATTAAAAACGCCGCTCATTTTTAATCGAACGCATTCTTTTTTTGGTTGTTTCTGCGGTTATCTTTTTTTTTCGAAAAATTTTGGTTGTTTTTGGGTTTGCTTTTTAGTAATAAACTTAAGGTGTGTGTGTGTGTGTGTGTGTGTGTGTGTGTGTGTGTGTGTGTGTGTGTGTGTGTGTGTGTGTGTGTGTGCAAGAAAGAGAGAGGGATAGAGGCCTGAAGATGCACGAGAGCGAGGCAGGCAGAAACATTGAGAACAACGCGTGTGTTCCAACGAAGCAGCAGTAGCAATTCGTCCAACCTCCCGCTCCCCCCTCCCCTCCCCACTTCACACATACACGCACACACTCACACACTCGCACGCAGTGGGCTCGTGCGCGCGGCACTGGTGTCAGCTCCGTAAATCCGTACAAAGTGCTCAAGTAAATCGGTCCAACGAGGACCGGCAAGGCTCCTCCGCTAAAGTGGTACCGTCTGTCTCAAAAAGGTAGTCGACGTTTTTTTTTTCACCGCGCACCAAAGGCTGCAAAAAGTTCGTGATTTTGTCTTTTTTTGTGAGGGTGGGGATCTAAAGTGTTTTTTTAGTTTTTTATTATTGTTGTGTTTTTTAGGTCTTTTTTATTATTTTAAAGTTGTTTTTTTTTTAAAAAATTTTTGTTTTTGTTTAGTTTTTTTGTTTATTTTTGCGTAGTGAATGTGAATGACACTGCATTCCTAGGCGCCCGTTCCCATAAGGCCTGTCCGCTTCTCCTAACGGCGCGTCGTGCCTGATTACTTTCATGTATTCATTAACGGACGCGAGTATCATTTGCCAGGCGCATGTTGCCCGCTGCTTTCCGTTGTTGGAAGATGATTTGTTTAATCAGCCGCGCTCGGCCAATAAATCGAAAGGCTTGTTCGCTTTCCAGTCCGGGAAGGAAAGGACTTCTTTTATTGATGCGAGATTCAAATCAATTAACCACTGGCCGGGGCATGGAGACATCACCTGTGGGAGAGGAAGCACCCACAGCCAGCGCTGCTCTCATAGCCACAGACATTAAACTCAAATGCAAATGCCCTTTTGCACTGGCCTCGCACCAACCTTGGGCCAGCCTTGGGACGGACATTGCCTGGAGAGAGACCGAGTCTGAAACTGAACTAGGGCTTGCGATACGTAAAAATAAAACTCAACAGTCGCAGCTGAAAACTAAAAACTAACGTTTGGTTCATTTCAATTCGTGGATTAAGATCTGCAGGAAAAAAAACCCTGTTGGATTTTGCAGTACCCGCGATCCATGACCCGCCAGACCTTCACACTGCCTCCCTTGAATGACTGGCGCCCCTCTGACCCCCCCCCCTTTTCCCCCCTCCCTCTCGCTTCCTCCGCCCGCCCCAGCGATAGGCTGTCTTTGTGGATGATCGGTTTATCTACAGTGGGGCGTTGCCGAGGAGAAACTGTGTGTCCGTTCGGGTGCATGTTGCGTTTCCCGCTTGTCGTCGGCGTTGTTGTTGTTGTTGCGGCTGCTTGTTGTTGTTGCCGGGTCGCTGCAACACTGACTCGTAAAGCGATGGCTAGCGCCGCGGCGCGGCCGAGTCCGCCACGGCGGGGCACTCAACTGCAAATTTTATTCGCGCACAGACGTGTTAAGTTGTTCAACTCCCGCACACGCAAAGAAGCGCAGACAAAGCGCCTGCAAGTGTGTAAATGCGCTTGTGTGTGTGTGTGTGTGTGTGTGTGTGTGTGTCTGTGTGTGTGCGCGTGCGTGTGTGCGCGCGTGTGTGTGTGTGTGAACGTGGGTTACTGAGTGCGTCCAAGTTGCATGCAAAGTGCCACACTTTGTCCATCCTGTTTTTCGTTATTTAAAAAAAATACAATGCTCACATATTTTTTCTTTCTTTCTTTCTTTCTTTCTTTCTTTCTTTCTTTCTTTCTTTCTTTCTTTCTTTCTTTCTTTCTTTCTTTCTTTCTTTCTTTCTTTCTTTCTTTCTTTCATTTGTTTGGGAACATGATAGTTTTCTGAACGATACTCGATGCGACGTGCAACGACATTTCTAGCTGAGTGACTGACTGATTACATCTCTGCCGTCCGGCGCACGCTCAGACTTTTGACTGCACATTGATCGGAATGGACATGCAGACAGACAGACAGACAGACAGACAGACAGACAGACGAGCAGAGCGACAGGCAGGCAGACAGACAGACAGACGGCACGGGTGCATCTGCTGCTACCTGTTGTCGGTGGACGCGTGGCTGGCGTGGCTGTCCAAACAGGTGCCCGGGCCACGCCTTCGACGGGGACGTCAAGGACACACGCTCTACAAATTGGTGGTGCTTCCCTGTGTTGCAGCCGAGCTCAAGATGGACGTGCTGCGCGAGCGGGAGCTCAAGGAGAGTCTGGAGAGGCAGCTCATGGACGAGACGAGGACGAGAAGTGAGTACACAACTTCTCAAAATTTGAAAATCTCGCATATCTGGTTTGTTTTTTAATCGAATCGGAGCAGCCTTGTTTCGATTCGATTCCGTTTCAAACGATTGACAAGCCTGAAGTCTGCGCTCCAGCGCTACTCGCCTCGCGAAGCCGCGAAGTCCGCCTTTGCAGTGCAGTGCGGCGTGTTCGGACGCGCCTCGCTTTCTCTTCCGGTGTGCGTACAACGCGTGTGATTGGCCGCGTCACGCCCCATCAGCCCATCGGGCACACTGCTAAACACGGGGGTCATCTTCTGGCAGACTGATTCTGTAGCGGGTCGCCGCCGTGGCGATACCGTCCCGTCACACAGAAGTGCCGCCGGGTTGCCTACCCTCGCCACGGCAGGGGCGCTAGAGCTCGGCTGAGCTAGGCTGGTGCCCAGTGGGCCAGAAGACCGGTGGAGGCGCTCAAAATCCCGGACGCGTTTTGAGCTCCAGAGTCGCTAAATGGGACTCGGACCGAGCGTGTGACCCCACCAATGCGGATCGCTCTCAGGACGAGCAATCCATTGGTGGGTCACACATTCGGTTCGAGTCCTGCTTAGCGACTCTGGAGCTAAAAATGCGTCTGGACTTTTGGCCGCCTCCGCCGGTCTTCTGGCCCACTGTGCGGTGGTGGGAAACCCGAACCGTGCCGTGCCGCGGTCTCGCACATCTCCCTCCTCTCCGTCGTCGCGCTGCGTGACCACCGCCTTGCAGGAAAAGGTTCCGCTCGGGCGGCGGCAAAAGTCGGGGTTGTTATTGACCGTCGAGGCAGCCAAGGCGGCGCTGCCCGGTCTATTTCACTGTAGCAGCGCGCTGGCCGCGCCAGCGCCTTCTCGTTTAAAAGCACCCGTCATTTCCGCAGTCTGTCATAGCGCATCCGGCTGCCGTTTCAATATCTTTTTGCCACCAAAGTACCAAAGGACACCGACCTGGACGACTTTTCTTCTGTCTCGTTAGCCGCAACGGACCACATCTCCAAGCCGAGATGGCCGCCAAGTTATTGTTCCGTTTTTCTGCTTCCGGTTTCGATTCCTCCGATCTACACCTTTTTTTTTCGGGGAAACATAACGGACGAATTGATATGTCATTTTGGACGGTTTATGGCAGTCACGCAAATTAGGCGGCGGGGCCCAGCAGACGACATTTCCGGAAAAGGTCGCGATGGCTGTCTCAGAACTGTTGTTGTTTTCGTTGCTGTTAGTTGTTGTTGTTGTTACCTCTCAGGTGCCCGCGGAAGATAAGGCGCAGCACGTGCTTAAAGCGCACAAGACCATTTTCAATTCGACGTGTGTTGTGTGTGTGTGTGTGTGTTGTGTGTGTGTGTGTGTGACCGAAACGCGCACTAAACTCGTGTTGCTGTGTTATCGCCGGTGGACAGACAGACAGACAGACAGACGGACAGACAGAAAATCAGACCTAAACAGCCAGCCAGCCAGACAGACAGACAGACGGACTAATTTCCAGGCGACACTGGAAGGACAGTGCCGGGCCGGCCGCTCCCCCGGGACGGCCTGGGTCTCGGTCTGCATGTCTTAGACGGCGCTTGGTCGCCGCTACGCCGCTACGCTGCTAATCAGCGTCTGGATGTGGATTTCATGGCGTCCCCGGGGACACACTGCACAATGGCCTTCCCCTTCGAGGTCTTCCCCGACGTCCCGGACTACTGGCTCCACTGACGCGGTTTCCTAATGGCGTCGCCCAATCTGACCTTTCAGTCCCAAATGCCTTCAGTCCCTTCACCATATTTCATTCCGGCCGGCGTCTGCAGGGCGGCGTCGCCGTGGCCGCGCGGTCAACGACGCAGACCGCGGGGCCGAAAGGTCCCGGGTTCGAACACCCGCGCCGCGCGGACCACACGCAGTGCCGCGACGCGCGCTTAGCAACGTTGTCACACTCTCACGCGTTTAGCGCTAATTTGCGCGTCTATAGGCACGGTGCGTTCCCTACCAATTCGGTGTCGTGAGGCTGCAGACGCCGTCGACGGGCACTGGATGGCCTAGCTTTCGCACCGAGAGGAACGATGCTTCACGCATAAAAATCCAGAGCTGGGAAGACGCCTCCCAGAAATATTAGTTTGGATCGGATAAAGTGCGTTGACGCGATTTCTGACCCAAGTGATCTTAGAGGTTGCCTTGCCCGCCCCAGGCCCGCCCCAAGACAATGGCGTGCGGCGCGGCCTCGCCCCTTCCAGGGCCCCTTGCAGGCCCCTTGCAGGCCCCGCGCTAATGCGAACCCGAATCCGAGTCAGCTCCCGTTTCTCCCCCTGGATTTAATTAAGTGCGATTGCCACTAAGAAGCGGCCCGAGACTCGGTCCAGTTTACGACGGACAACAGACGCAATGCAAAGGGAAGGGCTGCAGTCCGAGCTCTCTATCTCTCTCCCTCCCTCGCGGCCCTGCGGGACGCCCCGTGGGTGCGAGAGAGGCGGCCCGCCGGGAGGCGCTGTCACCGGACACCGGGGAGGGCTTGGCGGGGTGTGTTGCCGGCGTTGCTGTGTTCCTGCTGGTGGCGCGGCCTTCTCATTGTCGAGATGATACAGTCCGGGCGACTCGGGGCTTAGGGGGCTTTGCTGGACCAGCGAGCATCAATATTCCAAGTAACCAGTTGGTCCAGGCTGTCGTGTTTGCTCCTTGTTTCCCCCTGGATTTCAAGGGTATCATCATTTCTCCAGGCACAGTTCAGCACTGTTTTACAACTTTGAAAAATTACTAGTGGTGTTAGAACTTAAACTTTTGGCGGTAAAACCAACAAGAATTGAGGCAATTGCAACGCCCGGTTGTTGTTGTTGTTGAGTGACCGTGACGCGTCCTTCCGTTCCCCTTTCCCCACCACGCTTCGCAGCTGTTGCCGCCAAAAGCCAGCATCCCGCCAGTTTTGATAGCTCAGGCGCTAAGAGTGTGGGTCGGAGACGTTGAGTGCCCGGGTTCAAATCCTCCCAAACTCAATGTTTTTTTGTTTTTTTTGTTGTTGTGACGATTGTGACGACGGCGTGACGACGTGACAGCGACGTGACAGCGACGTGGCTGGCGACACGGCGGGCGACACGGAGGGGCGACGTGTGACGAGGCGCATTCGAAACCGGATCCCCTTGGCCACGACCGATGTGTAATTGAATTAAAGAATCACTCAGTCAGTCGAGAGCCGTTCCGGAGAATCGTTATTCCGTCGGCCCGTCTCTCTCGCGCGCTCACGGGGTTGTCCCGTATGGGTGCGAGGGAGACAGAGTGACGACACGAGTATTTCGGAATCAGTCCGCAGGCAGAGCAAACGCGGAGGGAAAAAGACCCTGCTGTGTCAAATCAACAATCCTTCGATCCAGCCACACAGAAAGCCGGCAAGCGGACTACCTGACATCGCCCCGGCTGGATCGAATTTAAATGTCGTCTGCGAAACACCGAGCACTGTAGGGTGTTGTTGTTGTTTTTTTTCCCACTCCGAGCGGTTTTTCTGACTTCCTCCGTTTTCCGTGTGTTGCAGTGTTGTGGCAGAAGCGACTCCAGAAAGAGAGGAAAGCCCGGCGGCGCCTCCAGGAGCAGCTGGAGCTGGAGATGAAGCGGCGCGCGCAGCTGGAGGACGCCCTGCGCGGAGGCAACGGTAAGGACCTCTCTCTCGCACTCACGGGGCGGGACGGGGCGATTAGAGTCAGTCTGTTGGAAGGCATGCAGATGCAACCTACGTTACGTTCGGTCACAGTGCCCCCCGGCAACCCGACGGCAACCTCACGCACTCCCCGTGCACCCCCGCCCCCAAGTCTGCTGCAACTTGAGCCCCAGTGGCCTTGCACGCCGTTCGGACGCTTCGGGACGCGGCTGATCCGAGGCGACGGAACAGAACCAAGCCTGTCATTCCAACTCGTCTTTTCTCTCTCTCTCTCTCTCTCTCTCTCTCTCTCTCTCTCTCTCTCTCTCTCTCTCTCTCTCTCTCTCTCTCTCTCTCTCGTTACCTCGCCTCATCAATCAGAGTGTACTTTTAGTCGATCACGGGCTGCATTGGCGCAGTGCGGTGCAAGCGAAACCCGATCCCTCCAGGGCGATTCCGCACAGCGTCGCTCTGTCTCTCTCGCACCCCCGCGGGTCTCGCCACGAGTGCGAGAGAGACAGCGGCTACGCCTTGACCGTTTTGTCCGAGACACTAAGCAGAAATGACCGTCATCAAAGGGCACCGTAAGGACCAGCCTTGCCCTTTCTGGTAATGATACTCTTTTCAAATTGCCCGCCGACCGCATATTCATTTTGTGTCAAATTGTATCGAAGATGGCGGCGGTGCTCTGTAATCAGCCGGGACGGTACAGCATGGCCGCGCCGTATGGTGACATGGAAGGCACTGCGAAAAAAATGGTTAAGGAATTGGATTGTTACGCTAAGAGCTGAGAAGGAGTTCCCCCTGCGGTCATCCAATCGGTGGGGGGCTTGCGGCCGTTGACCTTGCACCAGCTGTGAGTTTGCACCGTTCTGCACACAGATGTCGTGCCGAGGGAGCTGGACCTGGACCGGAAGTCGAAGCCTGGGGACCAGCAGAAGCTGGAGCCGCAACCGGAAGTACCGAAGCAGGGCTCGCCGTCGCCACAGCCGCAGCACCACCAACTTCACCACCACGGCCAGCACCAACAACAGCAGCAACTGCAACAGCAACATCAGCAACAACATCAACAACAACAGCAACAGCAGCAGCTTCAGCAACAGAAACACCAGCAGACCTCACCTGTGCCCGACAGAGAACGCCAGTCGCCCGCTGTGCTTGGTAGGTGTGGTGTGATTCGAGTTTGATATTCGGTCGACTTTATTCGACATTAACGTTTCTCTTTCGCTTTCGATTCCAGATTCGCGGGCAAGCTACTACAAAAACTCGGTGCTCTTCGGAGGGGCGTCGTAAGATTGCCCAATAAGAAACCCGTTTTCCTTCTCTAGAAAACTAAGCCGGTGTAATTTAGTGAACGGAACTGTTGGTATACGTGTGTAAATACGATGGCTTCTTCTTTCAGTCGTACCTAAGCTCCATCTTTTATAACTTATTTATAGAGAGCCCATTTTGAGGGTGATTGAAGACAAATTGTACAAAGTAATTTAAGTGTGTACAGTGTAGATGTAAATATAATGTAACGATCCAGTGTTAACTGTACAGTTTTCGTGTGCACTGGCATAATTTATACCCGTTCCCATATCGCCTAGCAATGCTACATTTATGAAACAGTTGAACCAATTGGTTCATAAAAACCACTAAAACTACAGCGTCGCTTCCGTCTTAGTCGAGCCAAACCTTCCCACCGAAAAAAAATGCAGCTCTTCACTCAGCAATGCACTGCCCAGTTTGTGTTATTCGATTTGCGAAGTAGCGATCGTTGTCAGTAATCGTGTACATGTCGCAACGGAATGATTTTAAGTATACTAGTAGCTATTAACGTGGCTCGAGAGCCCTTTACACTTTAAGAAATTTTTGTGATACTTCATGTGAATTATATATTATATCTAGCATAAGCGGATCGTCGTAGAATCGTTGGCATAAGTCAAAGCTTTGTTGATAACGCCAGAGACCTCGCCTGCTTCAACAAACTTTAGGTCACTTCCTTTCGCTCCCAACGAGTAGCGCCGTCACATTGTTCTTAACCCCTTTCCTTGGCATAATTATAGTAGCTTTGGGAGCCCTTTTTACATTGAAACTACAAGCTCGAGGCTGTCGGGCGAAAAGTCTCAGCAGTTTGATGGCGTCTTTGAATAAACCTGTACCTTAAAAAATGAGTCTGTGTTGCTGTTCTTCTTTTTTGTAACCCCAACAGACCAAAAATGGTTCTGCGCACTCTTTTCCTCCACAACGTGTTTGCTGAGAGAAATGGTAGACACTTCTCCTTCCAAGGGGGCGATCCACTCCAGTGCCGAAATGGGCGGTGACACTGCGTGGGGCGTGGCGGGGCGGGGCGGGCGGGGCGGGGTGGGGCGCCTCGAGGGGCGTCGTGGCGCTGCCGAGTGGAGGGGGCAAACAGACAGACATTCAGACCAATGCGCGGGCAAAGCCGGGCTGAGCCCCGCCGGGGGCATTCCGTTGGGCCACCGCGACGCCGCGCCGCCCCCACGCCCCCGCGCCGCCCCCGCTACGCCCCCGCGGCTCCCTCCCCCACTCCGCGGAGTCCGCGACGACGACGGCTGTGTCAGCCGGATCCTCGCTGTTCGCGTCGCGGCGTCCGCGCCCGGAGGGGGAAAAGGTGTTTGAAAAGGCAAAGAGACGCCGGGTGTCACACGCTGGTCTTCAGAGCTCGAAACCAACAGACGCAAAAGACCCTCGCGTGCGTGGCAAACCAAACCGCTGCCGCAACACTCCGAAACAACAATGGCACAAAGAGACGGAAATTTGCATGGGGCGCGAGTGCAGTGCTGGGCGCGCCTGGCTGGCCCCGGTCAGGCAATCCACAGGTCAATCGGCTGCAATGTCAACAGATTTGCACCGTAACAACAGTCGTGATGAATCCGCGGAGGGACACACGAGTTTATTGCCAACACACACACGCGCACACACACATGCACACACACATTCACCTGCACACGCACGTACGCCCCTGGCCCCACGTCCTGTGTCATTGTTGTCGATAGCGCCGGACTATCTGTTATCTACCGGGGGGTCAGCTAACAATGGGACTCAGCCTCGGTGTTGACGAGGGCCGAACGCAAATCTCTGACCATTCACCATCGCGGGGGCTCGGGTTCCAATCCCGGTGCCCGCTCCCGTTTTTTTTCTTTCCTCTTTCCTCTCAACGGCACTGCACGGGAAGTGACTGCTCGCGCCAGCACTTGGGCAATGGTGGCTAGTTTCCTCCTCGTGGTTCCTCGTCGTTGAGTCTTTTTTTTCTGACCGGACCGCAAAGAATCCGACCACCTTGCGCTCCTTTGTGCGACGCGTTGCACAATCCTCAGCTGGACGACTGGAGCCGACTGGAGCCCTGGACACGTTGGTCACACCGCGTCACGCCGCGGAGCGCGCGGCAATGCTAGCAGCGCCAGCAGCGCCAGCCGGCCAAGGTGACGTCACGCCAATCGAAACTGTCAAAAAACATTTCCTTCTCACTTCAACCGGTGTCTACTTCTTCTCCTCCTGTGGTAATTTATAAAATTTCAGTTCTTCTTCTTCTTCTTCTTCTTCTTCTTCTTCTTCTTCTTCTTCTTCTTCTTCTTCTTCTTCTTCTTCTTCTTCTTCTTCTTCTTTCCGGAATAAGAAGTGTACGACTACGTGAGAAAAAGACTCGCACAAAGAAGACGAGCAATAACTGTGCTGAGAGGAAGGGCGGTGAAACTAATTTATCTTTCATCTCGGCTTCTGTAGACAAGGCGGCGGGCCGGGCGGGCAGGGCCACCCCTCGCAACCAAATAGGCAAATTTCGTTACAAATCCGCCAGTCACCCCGGCGGGCCACCGCCTGGCTCCGCCATCAATCATAATAAAAATCCGCGACCGCGGCCGATAGCCATGCGCGAGACTTATGCAAGGCGCTGACTTTTCTCCAGTGAGTGACACAGGCGTCGCTTTCAAAAGGGCCGCCGTAATCTTTGGGCGCAGTTGAATGGGAAATAAAAATGCATTAAAAGTGGCCGGGCGATGAAAGGGACGTCAGCAGAGGACGTGATGGAGTGGACGAGGACTTGCCATTGCTGCGGACGAACTGGTCCGCCCAACCCGATCTCATTTCCAAAGTTACCTTTTGCGCTGAAAGAAAAAAAACAGCAGGAAAACAAAAAAAAAGCGCATGACCACCAGTATTATTAAAATCATTTTTGAGAAAATTTGATTCCTAAAAAAAATGCCTACAGTTACCGTGACAACTCTTTTAAAAACGTGAAAATCAATTATTTATTTGATTTTACTGTCGTCATCTCTTGCGTATCATCATTGCTGTCTAAATCATAGACATGACTTGGCGCCTTGCTAAAAAAATATAAATAATCAATTGATTTGAAATAAAAAGAAATGTGATTGACTGTCGCGAGGGTCAGTGCCAAGATTTCATTCTGGAAACGTCATGGAGTGTGGGTATCGCAGCCATGAAGCCATTGAGGGGCACATTAGGACGTCGCGTTGACAATATCGCAGTGACTCGGCACAACGGTCGAACAACGGACGCGCAGCACCGCGCAGAAACGCGCAGCACCGCGCAGCGCACGGCGAGGGGAGTGGAGGCAGACGCCACAATACAGACATGAGCCACCGCGGTCGCGATTCCCGACTGTGAAAGGGAGAGTGTTTCCAATTCCAAGGAGAGCCAGCCGTCCGAAAAGGACACTTCTGGAGATACACGCCGAAGGGGAAAAAATCAGCTCCACGCAGTGACCCACTTTCCGAGGAGAATCGTACTCAAGTACGTAAGTTGATTTGTACCAGAGCCAGGCTGGTTGCTTGCATTTGATGAGCTTAGACATCTCCGAGCAGACTGTTGGGCATTCCCTGCAGTCCGTTCCGCCTGCAGAGAAGAGACATGACTTTCGTACGTAACATGAATCGAGTAGAACCATTCTCACTGAGTGCTCAAACGCGAAAAAGATACTCCGAACGGGTGCTGTTATCCGCGTGCAACAAGTGAGCGTTGTTCCCCGGCACCTCCGGCTCACCCGCGACACCGACTGCCTCGCGACACACTTTGCCCTCCCCCTTCTGCCCCAGTTGCGCACCACGCCGTGAGAAATTCACAGTTGCAGTGGACAACTCTTTCGGCACGTCCTCTGTGACGAACGGCAGACAAGTGACGACTACGTTACGCTGCATGATGGATAAGTGTCTGTCTGTCCGTCCGTCTGTCTGCCTGTTGGTCCGACAAACGCTGTGTCGGTGTGTGCCAAAGGAGTCAGTCCTGGGAAAAGCAGAGGGAGAGAGAGAGAGGTTTGATAATAACGACTGATCACCTCGGCGCGTGTGTGTGTGTGTGCGCGTGTGTGCGCGTGTGTGTGCGTGTGTGTGTGTGTGTGTGTGTGTGTGTGTGTGTGTGTGTGTGTATGCGTGTGTGCGCGCGCGGGTCGGTCCTGGGATTTGCATCCCTCAAAATCTCGCCTTTCAGACAGCAGCATGATTATTTCCAGACGTCCGCGGAAGACGGATCGCGGTCACGTGAGCGGCCCGGCGGCACGGGGATCATGTCCTTGTTGTTGTTGTTGCTGCCATTGCTGCCGTTCTCGTTGTTGTTGTTTGTGGTGCAGAGCCGCGTAACTGACCGGCCCTCCTAGCGACAGATAGCCGGTTGTTGGTCGTGGCGTCACCAACGCGGCCTGCTGCAGTAGGGTCCGTGGCGGTGACACAGCAAGACACCATCGAGAGTCAGTCGGAGACGATTTCAAAGTCATGCTTTTGGACCGTTTGCAGTGCGAGAAAGTACTGTGTCTCTCACGCGCCGGAGAGCGAGGGGGGATAAAAGATTCGCGGATTTTACATCCCTGTGAGTGTCGCCGTTTTCGCGGAGTGCATGCTCTGTGTGTGTGTGTGAGTGTGCTGGCGTGTGTGTGAAAAAGCATCTGCAGCGCCCTCTTCACTCCACCAACATACATTACACTCACCTTAGGCGCCCCCCGTTCAAGGTGCTTTTTCGTCAAGAGGACACGTGTTTACCGCAAGCTCGACCAAAGAAAGCAGCTAAAAAAAGCCAAAAAAAAGAATAAAGAAAAAACTGGAAAAGTGTTGACGCCATCACACCTTCACCCGCTCGATGTGCCACCTATTCAGGGCCCCTGGGGGGGCTCACACGTCAGCCGCGTGGTCTAAGGCTCCGGACTTCGAGCTCGCAACCTCAGGTTCAAATCCTGGTCGTTTTGTTCTCCTTTTTCCTTCTTTTCCGTTACATATTCGAGCGCCCTCAGCGATCCCTCCGCTGCGAGGCGAGAGGAGCGGCAAGCACAGAGAGCCTCTTCGTCGAAGGTCGAGGAGCCTGGTGCAAGCATCGACACGCAAAAAGTCCCACACAAAACGTCGGCACGAAATAAACATCTCACTCGCGCCTGCGGCTAAGATTGTCGCCCGAAAGGTAAGTCTGCTCCGTTGCGCAGTGGTGTGTGTGTGTGCGCGTGTGTGTGTGTGTGTGTGTGTGTGTGTGTGTGTGTGTGCACTGGCCATAGTAAGACCCATCGGCACACACCACACAAAGCAGACAGCGCCACAAAGCGCAACTAGAACTGGCAACAATACTTCAAAGGTGCCGAGTGCGCGCCATCTTCTCCCCACGTGAGCCCTGAGAGTGTGTGTGCGTGAGTCCGTGAGTCGCGGTCACTCCTCTCGAAGCACAGACCCAGATGGACGGTCGGCTCTGATTTTGATTGGATCACGGTTAAATGGGTCCGTTGTGTGTGAGACGGTGCCGCGCCTCCTACTGCGCGCGGGCGCGTGTCCCCCGACAATGGGATGAGTAGCACATTGTAGTGCCGGGAGTGTTGTCACGACACGGGCAGTGGCCACTGCCAATGCGTGGTACCCGCCGAAAAGAAAAGGCAGCTCAAAAACAACCACATTTTTTGTATTTTAAAATTTTTGTCGACTCGTTACGGAAATACAGATGGCACGGCAGATGGCTGCAGCTGCAGATTACGGGTCCTCCCGCTGAGGTAATCCGGATTGCGACTTGATTAGAGATGAGTTCGTCAGACAATGTGTCTCCACTCGACGAAGGGGGCAAAGGGGTGCAGAATAAGGCACGCCTGACGGGGCCGCAACAACGCCGGCAACACAGCTGCGTATCACTGCGGCCTTTTAAGCAGATGATACCTTTTTTTTCGTTT